AGCTGAAGATTCAGCCTGACACTACAAGTCCCTTGAGACACCTGGGCTGTCATCCCATTTGATAGTGGGGCACCCACACTGTTGCCACCATGTCTATTTACTAACACACAGCGCACACCTGCCACAGGGACTCTCTGCGGGCCAAAGCTGATGCACTAATTCCTCTAATCCATTCAATATGGAGGCTCCGCGTTACAGCCAGGCTTTAGGGCGGCAAATTACGCGACCTTGTTCTCAACATCTGCCTTTCATCAAATTCAGTCAAGTAATATGTGACATTACAAAGAGGGCGTTAACCTTTACTGCAATTGCAAAGGTTTCTGTGACACAAATGGAGCTCGGGTAATGTCAGTTCGGTGTTTTTAACTGCAGAAGTACATTTAGTGTGTTGAAATAAAAATACCATCAATGGTTTGGCAGTATGACGACACGATTATAAAAGAGACACTCGAATTAACAAATCTGATTTAAATATAAGCGGCCCGGTGATCCAGTGGTTAGCGCGTTGACCTCCCAGTGCAGAGGTCGTGGGTTCGATTCCAGCCCCGGGCTTCCTGTGTGGAGTTTGCATGTTCTCCCCGGGCCTGCGTGGGTTTTCTCCGGGTACTCCGGTTTCCTCCCAAATTCCACAAAATATGCATGGCAGGCTGATTGAACACTCTAAATTGTCCCGAGGTGTGAGTGTGAGCGCAGAGGGTTGTTGGTCTATGTGCGCCCTGCGATTGGCTGGCAACCGGTTCAGGGTGTCCCCCGCCTACTACCCGAAGACATCTGGGATAGTCTCCAGCACGCCCCGCGACCCTTGTGAGGATAAAGCGGATCAGAAAATGGATGGATGGATGTTTTAAATATATATCTGTTCTCATAAAGTGGCGCCTTGAGATACGAGTAACTGCTTTACAATTTTTTTTAAACACACAAGCAATCATTCAGCCAATTTATTGCTTTGACTTGCGTGTGCAAACTCAATTCATCTTACTTCACAACAAGCAGCAGTTTAGCAGACAGTGAAAAATTCATCAAAAAGAAGCTTCAAGCTGTTTACGCCCACTGTCAAAGTAAACAAATAGAATTACTCGACATGTATTTAAAGCAAATAGCTGCCTTCAGAAAGACCCAGCTTGATGTCTACATACGGTTGAACACGCAGTTGACATGCTAATGATTAGCATTGACAGTTTTAGAATCCTGTAAGGTGAACTTCCGAAAAAGGGCGATTCATCACTCACGAGTAGAACTACTTGCAAATATTTCTTGACCCTGACAAACAACTATGGGCTAAAAAATACCTCATAGTGTTTGTGCCAATCTGTACATTTTTGTGATATTTCATGAAAACATTTATTTAATTATTTTTCTCAATTCTCAACATTTTAGTGGAGACATCTACCTGTATAACTTGGGCACTACCGTGTACGTTATATGAAAATTTGTGTTTTATGTTAGCGCAGCCGTAAAAGAGTTTAAGACATGCCATGTGTCCCGTCAGTCCTACTGTGAATTGCTTGCAGAAACATTGAAACGCAAAAGCTCTCACCACGTTTTTGGGGTCTGCACTGAGACCTCCTCCAGCATTCCCGTGCCAGCATGTTCGTTTATCTGTCACCTGCAAATGCTGTGAGAGGTTTGCCATTAAGGTGTCCATGAATCTCATATATTCACAGCACTTTAATCTAGAAGTACTTCTCATGTCTACTTACGTTTGCTGCCTCCAAAATGCGTCTACTGCTTTCAGTTGTATTTGTTTTCCAACTTCTTGTTCGCAAGTGCGGCAGGGTACTCAGCTGAAACACAAGATGTAAAAGCACTGATCAGAATCTTGTATAACACCTCTCGACTGTGTGGGCTCAATTTATTTCATTCTGTTGACAGTTTACTGTAAGCCTTGTCACTAATCAATATTGTCTTCAAATTTGAATATGCAAAAAGTACATAAGGTAGTTTATTTGATCTATATTTTTTGTCTTCAAAATGTCAAAATTCACAATGCATTCACTGCATCCAGATGTATTTGTTTTTATATTAACATATTTTTGACAATATTGTGATGAGAACCATTTTGGTCACCATATTCTTGATGAAGTTTTCATACGATTCATGAACCAATTGTGTTTACTGAGCCCTCTAGATGGCACTCTCTGTTCAAATTAGGGCTGAATGTTTGGACACTATTTACATATATATTGTCAGTAGAAATTATCTTAATCAAATCTCATCAATAGAGGGGTTTGGCCTTTTCTGTATCGCCCACAATCCATTGCCGGCGGACATATTGAAAGGCTAGCCCCACTAACAAAACGTCATTTGCCATTTCGTTATGAAACATGTGTCATTGTTGGTTGTAACAGTTGGGGGGCAAGGGTGGAAAACTTTTATTTGGACTTCCAAAAATAATTACAAAACGCCTATCCAAAAGAAAAGCGATCCATCACCGGGAACTAAGCTGTGGCTATGGTTGCAAGCCACAAACATTGCCGTCGGTTCTCCCACTCAGGAGAGAGCTTCACATAAACGCAGACGTGCTGTTGTTTCCTGTGTCTTTGTTAATAGTTACCATACATGAGGATAAGTATACAACAGCCTGGACTGCTCCCTCCGTGTTGGAAACGTGTAGAAAGTTTATAATTTACCGTAACATCGTTGCTAATTTTGTTAGCATGTCTGCCTTTTTCTGCATGACAGCATTGAGCTAGCGGATATGCCAGTTTTGCATGACAACCAAAACTGTCACCTAGGTAAGAGTTTTATCCTTCACCAAAAAGACCATTGTCTGATAAAAAAGAAAACTTTAACATATTTCAATTAATAAGAAGACAAATGTCCTAGCGCTACCCATCACCATGTTTTTCTCCAATTGAAAATCCTACTTCACAGTTTTTCACCTTTCGCAGGGGGTTCTGGTCCCCTTGAACTGTGAAAATCAAGGGATTACTGTGCTTATTTTTGTGTCAGCAAACCAATCTTGCTGTTGAAAGTTTATAAGTATCGAAATCTCCAATTAAACATAATACCTGTATATTGTCTGCTTGTCTGAAGTCTTCAAGTACTTGTCCATCGCTCCAGCCAAAGTTTACTAAAAACCTCTCATCGCAAAAACTAATCTAGATATTCACACATAACGTACCGGCGTTTGCAATGAAAAGGCGAAGCAGCCTACAGCTATGGTCAAACGCATGAGATTGTGGGATATGTTACTTTAGGGGTGTTCACATGGCAACATTTGCTCCGGTGTTACGCTGGTGCTGCCCCAGTAGAGCGTTCACACGTGCAAAGTTACACTGGTGTAGCCCCTGAAAACAGCTTACTCTGGAGCAAATTTAACCCACCTCAGGGAGGTGGTTTAAAAATGGTACGTGTGAACGCTACAGGGTTAAAAATTTGCTCCGGAGCAAATGCTCGTTTGCGGCAGGGGGAGTAGACTTGCTACGCATGAGAAGAGTTGATTACGTACGGCTAGAATGCGTTGCTTTCACAACCCCCCCATAGAATTGATTTTGTTATTTCCTCTCTTGATTTTCTGTTTGGCGCATTATATGTTTGCTTTTCTGAGTGTCATTGAAGTCATCGTTGATTTACATTTTCGGGGGCGGTCATTGAACACCTCTCGAGCAGAAGGCACGGAGAGCGAGAAGGAGAAGGACGTGCCTGTACAGTAGTTGCTTGAGTTGTATATGTTTTAAAAAGAACCAACACGACAGCTCTTTGTTTTCTATCGTTTTGCTCCGCTGCAGAAACTGCCGTGTGAACCCAAATGGGGCTGCACCGGCGTTGCGCCGGTGCTAACACGCTCAGCGGCTTTGTACGTGTGAACACTCCACAAAATTTGCTCCAGTGTAAGATATATCGCAACAAAATACATTGGTGCAGCACCGGAGCAAATGTGTGCCGTGTGAACACCCCTTATTTTTAGGAACAAAGGTCAACCCCATTTATACAAGTTTGTTTTTTAAAACACAAAATGAAAATCATGCACAAGCAAACTGAAAAGTAACTTGCTGTGACGACCCCTGATGGGATAAGCATGAAGTCACACCAACAACAACCCTGTTTAAACAGGTAATTGCAAAATATTGTTGTTCAGTTTATGCATAATTTTTCAACATCCTGCCACGGGGATCTCAAGTGGCTCAAGTATCAAGCATCATTTCGAAACTTAGTGTCATACCAAAACTGAAACCGACCGCAATCAACTTTCACTTTTGAAATGTCGGACTCTTTTTATATCTTGTACTTTTCATTCCTCCGACCGTGGAGCAACGCTGTTCACTGACAATGACATCAGCAGAAAATAAATGTCAATGCACCCATCACCGGGTGGGACAAACACGCTTATCTAACATTTACTGACTTCTCTGGGACTCTCAAACACGTGATGCAAGACTGTTGCCAAGTCGACATGATTTCCCTAACTCAAGAAACAAACAGTATTGCACGACCTGTGACCATTCCGTTCTCACATAAAAATCACGTCAAACATTGTGTTGCAGCTCTCCATGGTGTAGCGCGAGATACAACTTGTGAACGAACATCTTGGCACTGGAGATTGAAGTTAGCACCAAGCTAGCGGACATGAAACAAACTCACGTGGGATTTGCGTGACATCAGTCGCATAACAGCCATACGACATTCCGAAAATTAGACCTTGTGAGTTTGGTTCACGTGTAACAACGGAAGACATTTGTAAACTTGTGCCCAGATCTGTCCTTGTGTGGTAACTGTCAACCCCATAAGCACCGTGCCCTCTGTAACTCCTCTTAAACTCCTCTCAACTTACCAGGTAAGGACTTTGGCGCGTGTACTTCGTCCCATTCTCGCTTTGACTTCTATTCCAAGCGTGATACGAGCTAGTTTTTCGAAGAATATTTGCCAGTTTTTGCCTGTGCAACTGTAAGCCGCATTTCAGCGACACCAACAGTGGCGCCATGTTGCAAGTGTGAGAGAAGGCGGGACGTAGGCGCGCCGGCTACGCCATTTCCGTTTAGGTCATCGTCTGTCACTAGTGTCAAAGCTAGCAAGCGGGCGCTATTGCCACACACTGCTATTATAACCTTAAAATAGGACTAATTAGACTTTTTAAACGACGTGGGTTAGAGTTTAAACGGTCTTGACCGTGACGATTATACTGTCGCCGGATGCGACAGCTGGATTAATTTGGGAATTTCTCTTCTCGAAAACTCGAGTCGCGGCTCAAGGTAAAACACGTTGTCTGGCCGCTTTGCTCTTTGTTGAACGGCTAATTTCGACCAACTTTGATTCTTTTGCCAGAGAACCAGTGTCCCTCTCACTCAGGATGCCATGCCACAATCAGCAAATGAGCACTGTAAACACCGGCCAGGACCACCCAATGAAGCAAGTGCGCTTTGCCACTAACAGCAGCGGCAATGTGACCGCTGTGTTGGCCACTCATGATGCAGGTGATGCCAGTAGCAGACAGCCCGTAAACCAGGACTCACTTGGACCCCAACTCAAACTGCTTCCCCTCAATGACCAGATACGAGAATTACAGACTATTATTAGAGACAAGTGAGTCAATACTTTTGTTATTATTCTATCAATCCCACATTGTCCACCGCCAATTTTTTAAAGAATCATTGTTCAGCCTGACATACACGACATAATCTAAATCCAATTGGGCCCTTGTGATATTCGGCAGCAAATTAAAAAAAAACAAAAAAACAAAATGTATTTTTCTCTCTCTTGTATAGAAATGACCATTAAAGGATGGTACAAAACTACTGAACAAGAAACAAACATTAAGTGCAAGAACTAATTTTGTACATTTTTTTTCACAAAAAAACAACATTTCAATATTATTGAGGTGCTATTTCCTGCATATCGTTCCAAATCCCACCCAAAATTATTCGGCCTACTCGTGTTGTAGTATAGGGGATGGTATAGTACTGTATAGGGGATTATACGACCCAGTGTAAATGCAACTAAGACATGCCTGCCATCTAATGGTAATTGATGATATTACAACTAATGCCTGACCCCAGAAATAATGGGCAGTTTTTTTTCTCTTTTTGAAACCTTTATTCGACTCTTTCAAATATATAAATACATTTGAATCATAAATTACACCACAAGCATTGTATATCGATACAAGAACACTTTTTCAGAACACAGTTTTTCAGACGGCTACATTTTCCTGTAATTATGTTTTATTATCAAAGGTGGTAAGCATGAAAACTGAAGAACATTTGCTTCTTATTTTCAAACTGCTACCTTATTTTTTACCCAGTATTTATTTTGTTTTTAATACCATATGATAAGCATGAAAAGGATGTACAGCGGTAAAATACAGCCTGTTCATTGGTGGTTCTGGTGATTGTGATGGTGTGGAGAGGATACTGATGGAGAAGAGTGGAGAGGATACTGATGGAGAAGAGAGTGGTCTGCCAATCCTGACTTTGGCGTTTACTACTGTGCTTAACATTGCTGGGTCCATTGCTTCAGGTCTCTTTGGACCAATAATTGATCAATCAAGGGGCCACTCAGAGTGTGGTCGCGGCCCACAGCCTGCCTGTCGCCCATCTCTGTTCAAATAGTATAACAAGGCATTTCAGTTATGTAGTATCGCAGTCTGAACACAAAGGAGGAATATTGAAAACGAATGCATGCAGCCGCCGCCATCACCAACCGAATGTCGATCATCATTGTTTTTGCAGAGCGTAATTTAAAGTTACGTTGAAGTCTTGCCATCCATGTCCTTAAAGTGTCTAGAAACTATTAAGCTGTACATGTCATGAAATGTTTTTTATAGGACAGTGGTAACATTTTTAATGAGGGATTTCAAACAGTCCAGAGAAATGTGTGTGTGAAACACCACATCTACACAAGTTATAGCAGTCTTTGAGGAATCTTGAAACAGTGAAGCGTAAAACATCATATGTTTGGTATGCGTGATGATTATCAAACAAAGGTCAGGGGGTGCCTTTGGGCCAGCAAAAAAACAAAACAAAAAAAAACAGTGCCTACAATACAGCAAATAAAAATACACTTCCCAAGTATAAATAGTCCATTTATTAGTGTCAGACAGAAAATTAATAGATAGTGCTGTAGTTTAAAATTTGACGTCGACAACATTTAGGAGGATATTATTGGTTAAGCCGGACGGAACATGCATGGAAAATGAACAGTATGTCAGGGTTACTGTGTCACCTTCTGTGCTAAAGTAATTACCAGGATTTGTCAAATATACCTGGAAACAGCCACATTAAAAAAAAAATTATTTCTATCATTTGTTATCATCCCTTTGACAATAAAATATTAGGAAAACTGTTCTCTGGTGTATCCTAGCATCAATATACCATCCCAAAAGCCTCTTTGATGTTTGTCACCTCAGGTCCAAAAGTAGCAGTTTCTCTTATCAGGTGCCATTTCAGTCTTTTTGAAGTTCTATCTATCATAAGCAGTTGTGAGATGGTTTGGAGGTTTATAACAGTTACTGGGCCTGAGGTCTTATTGGCTTTTAGGAATTACATGGCAAATCGGAACCAATACTCTTGTGGGCCGTATCCAGCAAGGTTTCCAACCCTCAATGGACCTGTCCAGACAGCTTCAAAATACTGTAACATTTACATCTTGTGACAGTGTGTAAAAAGGCATTGTTGATTTTTCAATGTTCATTATTTCAAAAACCCACGGTAAAATTTCTATCACATCAACGTAAATGTATTTATATAATTGTAGATGAAGTAACTTCTAAGTTTAATACATAGGGTGCGCCACCTCAATAGGAGACTGCCATGTTTCGATGGCATCTTTCTGCCACAGATACTTGGAGACAAATTAAGCGAACAGAGTCCCTCAACATCATGACTATAGCACGTACAACAAATGCAATTTGTCACCTGAGGGAATACTAGAAGTTGTTTGTGATAACATTTTGCTTGCAACCGCGATGACGAAATTGGTGGTAGGTTTGCGAAGTGTGGTCCCTCTGAGGCACCGTAGTATGCATGCTTCAAAGTGCACCGCACTTCGAGCTTAGGTCGTTGCATTCCATTAAATTTCGATTAGAGGAAACTAAATCCTACACACTGTATCTTAAAAAAAAAAAAAAAAAAAACAAGAATTGTTGAGTAATTCCAGGCACTATTGCTCCCGATATTGGCATATGTATAATATATGTATGATTGACCATCCTTTTATGCGTGTGATAAATTGCACTCCTTTTAATTCAGTCGGTTAGAAAATGTACAGACCCAATTTAACGAATCCACTCCACCAATTAAATTTGAATTTCTACATTGACTTTCCCATAACATCTGAATATTAATGTACGCTGAAATGTCTGTAGCACTAATTAATTACTACAAGTCACTGTATATTGAGAGGGAAAATCTAGTTTGGACATTTGTTTTCCTGTGTTTGTAGGACTACCAGCAGAGGGGATTTTGTGTTTTGTGCCGACCGACTGGTAGGATCATACAGTACCATGATACCAACCGTGTGTGTATGCGTTTTCCATATTTAATTGACTTATGTTGTTGTTCAACAGATTAGACTTGTAGTGGAAGAAGGCCTAAATCAACTGCCTTACTCCGAGTGTACTGTGACTACACCAACAGGTGAGAATCAGAATGAGAAAAGCTGCCGCATCCATCCCATTTTAACTGAGGACCTGACTTGGTTTGTTCCACACTGCTGCAGAACATTCATAACTAACGTGTCTCATATCGGGTCTTCAGGATATAAATATGAAGGAGTCAAGTTTGAGAGAGGTAACTGCGGCGTCAGCATTATGAGGAGTGGTGAGTCAGACGACATCTGCAGTGCATAAAGAAAGTGAACAGACTCAACTACTGAACATACAACGACTCAACACACTATTCACCTCAATTGCAATCTGCAAGCAGTAGAAGTAACAGTGGGAAAAATACTTGGATTTCAGCAAAAATGTTCTGGGAGAAATAATCTTCCTCTGAAATCCAACACAATGTGGAGTTTGAAAGTCGTTTTTGAGACGCTAGCAAATCTAGTGAGTCCTCATGTCCACCTCAGTAAAGATCTTAAACCGCACCACTGAAAATTCATCGTCCCTCCTTCAATTAGGCATGTGAATCGACAATAATAGTGCAACTATCAATGGCATCTGATTCCCAGGAAAGAGGTCGAAAGCCAAGTAAGTATCAAAATAATGACATAGCCTCCTCAGTGCCATATTGGCCTGTTTTGAGCAATCACGTGACCGCGACGACGTAGCGTGTGCTGAAACATTCAAACATGGTGGCCGATAATTTTTGGCTTATTTCTTGGTCTATATGCCTATAAAAATGTCATATGGCATCATCAGGCATTACCATACTTTACATAAGGACACTCCTAACCATGTGAAGTTTTATATTCTACCTTCAGGAAAGAAAGAGAAACATTTACAATGACATTGGCCGGCACATGCTGCCGACCAGCTTCCAAAAGGTGCAGTCTAGTCATCAAAAGCTGAACATCGCTGAATCTCTGAAAAACTTAACCGAAATCTATGTGCACATCTCTACTCATGCCCACTTCACATTATACATTTGAAAATATAGATCAAGATTTATAAATCTTAGAATGATCGTTTCAGTGTTTTTTTTTTTTTTATCGTATCGATTTCGCTAAGTCGTTTCTGCTTCATAGGTGCTCCTAGAGCAAAATCATAAATGTCACCTAACGTTTGAAAAATTACGACCAAACCTCACCAAAATCTGTGTACACCTATACTCATGCGTACTTCATACTCTGAAAATGTTACAACAATCATCCAATTTTTAAATATTCGTTTTACTCTTAATATGTGCGCATTTGGCTTAAAAAATTAACGCAAACTGATAATTGCCTCTTATGCTTAAAAAAAATCACTTAAATGTACACAAACCGTAATTGATCACCACCAAAATTTATGTGCACATGTATATATGCATGCCAACTTCATATACCAAAAATATTCGAACAATTGCCGCCATATTTTTGATTTTATAGACGTCAATAAGCCGTTGTCTCTTCCTAGGCTGAAGACCTCATTCAAAACGAAAGGAATTCGTTGCCTTTTCACGGGCAAGAATTGAGTGTTTAAGTTATAGCAATACTTGGCACTGCGCAACTTATGTGATTATTGTAATACTTAAATCGGTCTAAACTGTTTTTCAGGGAATCGGATGCTGTTGATATTTGCACTATTGTTGTTTATACACCCGGCCTAATCAAATGATGGACAATGAATTTTTAGTGACCTGTTGTGTTGCGTGTGTCTTTGGCACAGGTGAGGCCATGGAGCAAGGTCTGCGGGACTGCTGCCGCTCCATTCGCATCGGCAAAATACTCATCCAAAGTGACGAGGAGACCCAGAAAGCCAAGGTCTACTATGCCAAGTTCCCACCCGATATTTACAGAAGAAAAGTGCTGCTCATGTACCCCATTCTCAGTGAGTCTGAACAGGCGCAAGCATATTGTTCTATGCTGGACTTCGATTTCCCAACACCAGCACATATATGAAACATGCATTTTCATGTATATGTTTTTTTTGAGAAGTCTCAGTCGCATCGACCTTTACCGGCCAAGTCTACATTTCCACATCATTCAGGCGCACTCACCCTGGTCTGATAATTATAGCTCTCACAAAGGAAATTATACACTGCCTCAGCAATGGCCACCAAGCTCCAGAACAGCATAATGGAGGCCAGACAAAAAAAAAAAAAAGTATTTTCCCTTTTGCATTTCCCTGCACATAAGGGGGGAAAAATCTCTTGACAGGTTGGAGGTTTACTTAAATGGCAGAATATTTAAAAGCATGTTAAGTGGCGGAGGTCACAACCGGGGACCTTTTTGAGATGATAACATAAGCAATTACACACCAGCAGACCTTTTCATATTTTTTTTTATGATTTAATAATCCAATTCATTCTAAAGATGTCAAGGCTGTTTTGGGAGTGTGACGTGTGTAATACACTTGATACGTTGTGTGTGTCGTCAGGTACTGGGAACACGGTGATTGAAGCAGTGAAGGTGCTGATCGAGCACGGGGTCCTGCCCAAACATATTATCCTCCTCAGCCTCTTCTCCACACCTCACGGTACATCAGCACAGCTGCATGATCTAATTTTCCATTTGCTTTTGTTTACCCAACAAATCAGTCTCCAATCTCCCCCTGCGTTTTTCCTCCTGATATTGCTGTTATTCGACTGGTAACTGCATTGCTGCGCGTGGCTGCAGCTGGTGATTTCCGATCCGCTTTATCCTCACAAGGGTCGCGGGGAGAGCTGGACCCTATCCCATCTGACTTTGGGCAGTAGGCGGGGGACACCGGTTGCCAGCCAATTGCAGGGCACACAGAGACAAACAACCATCCATGCTCACACTTAGGGACAATTTAGAGTGTTCAATGAGTCTGCCATGCATGTTTTTGGAATATGGGAGGAAACCGGAGTACCCAGAGAAAACCCACGCAGGCCCGGGGAGATCATGCAAACCCCACACAGGGAGGCCGGAGCCGGAATGGAACTGCGAGGCCGACGTGCTGACCACCGGGACATACATACATACAGCCTTGGATGCTGATATCTCTCTCTCTCTCTCTCTCTCTCTCTCTCTCTCTCTCTCTCTCTCTCTCACACACACACACACATATTCTGGATATAAAAGCAGAGAACTCAGTTTTCGAAGTTTCTCCATCGGGTTGGATCTCATTCGTTTCATCAAATTGCAAATGTTTTCGACAATACTTGTCTCAATGTCTCAGTACATCTTTGCAAAAGGTCAAGAACAGTAAGCCTACTATTTACACGGTCCGGATATTTCAATGGCTCTCTGCCACAGTGACAAAACACCTACTAAAGATAAAGCAAAAGGGCTGATGCATTTTGGCACCACGGATTATTTATATGAGAAATGAATTTAGTTTTGAATATAAATGTTTGGGAGTGATATGAGCCTTTGCAAGTGAGCTTTTGATGTTGTGCTGCCTTCTTTTGCCAAATGACCTTAAGAACGTTGACAAAGTAATTTCTGTTTCTAGAAAGGACCCAGACCATTGGCGAAAACATGGCAACTAAAGGACCAGATTCAAAGAAAATATTGCTTAAAATAAAGTGCTAGCCCCCTCTGCAGTCAATGGAATTAAAAGTCAGAGGCCACCATGAGGGGGCCAGTGAAATGTAAAAGCCCAAAAAGAGCGGTCTTGTCTTTCTTTGAACATTTTGCTTTAAACGTTGTCAGACAGTATCTGAAATCAAGTCCGCATTACTTTGAGAGTGAGAAAAAGAGAATTCCCCATTTCAATGGTGCTACCAAGTGAGAACGTGCTCATTCAGAGTTATGACACAATTTCAAATTGGACAATACAAAACTAGGGGGCGGTGCCAACCAGCATCCTGCCTAAATCGTGGTTCATTAATCATGAAAGTGAATGAAATGTCAAGATGTGTTCTTTGTTTTCTATTTTAGGGGCCAAATCTATAATCCAGGAATTTCCAGACATCACCATATTGGCAACAGAAGTTCACCCAGTGGCGCCAACACATTTTGGACAAAGGTACTTTGGCACCGATTAAATCCAGGACACAGGGAGCAACACGGGCTTGTAATTGTTTTAAGTATGTTTTTGTTGCTTGTTTTTAAAAAAAAAATCTCCTTGTGCCAAATACTCTTTCTGCTAAAATGAAACTATTTATTCTATTGATTTCTTTTTGCTATTTGTCATATGAATACAAACAATACTGAGCCGTATCAAGATCATTTTACTTTGCATGTTACAAGTGGTGATTTAATAAAGGATTTATATTTGTTATCAAAAGACCACCAAATGGAAAATAACGATATTTACTGACAAAGATAAATGACACAATCACACACAATAAGCCAAAGACCAGTTTCAACTGGACCACGAGCATTTGAAGATACTGTCTTGTGGCCGGTGAAAAAGATATTTTTTACTGTTAGAGATCCAGGTTTCTGATACATACAATATGTGTCACTGGCATATATATTTATAACATATATTTAATGTGTCACACAATGGAGCAAAATATGCAGACACTGCCCGCAGCAGCTATGTCTCGCTCGTTAATTTTAGCAATAAATAAACATCCCCATTTTCTGAAGGTTTTTACATGCACATACATTGTAAACATAAACAACATAGATGGAAAATTATCAATGACAGGGGAGTATTGTCAGATATGAGTGTTACTTGATTGGTACAACAAGTAGAATTATCCTGTAATGAAGTCATGTGATGGTGAAGTGAAAATGAAGTAAAAACACATCTAGTTGCATTTAGGCTTTGGGTCATTGTCAATAAACTGTCATCAGAAGTTGTGTTTTGTCTCAAAACATTCACATAATATATGTAAAAATCCTCAGGAACATGGATACAAAACAATACAAATCACATATTGGGAGACCTGCTCTCCATCCACTTTTGGATCACCTACTTAAGAACCTTTGTGCCCTCTTATAATAAAACACTTTTGCCAATTAAGGATTTTAAATCTCATGGACAAGACACATCTCTTCATTGCTGGAATGCAACTTCAATTCTGACCTTTTTTGTGCCTGTCATGCTTTTCTTTTTCTTTCCAAACAAGCACACAACAAAACAGCGTGCAAGGTGACTACTTTGAGAGGAAGCTATTTGTACAAATGCTTGTGGGAGGGTGGCACTAGACCAGATGATGACTGTCTGATCGGGGTTGAGGAATTGTTCCTTCATTGTAACAATGGGAATAGAATGTGGAACTGCCTCACTATAAGCACTTTTTAGCTGCACATTTATTCTTTTCAAATTAGTGCAGCTTACTTGAGTCACTGATCATCACTGAAGCCGAAACACTGGAGCACACTACCCAAGATACAGCTACTCAAATTTGCACTTGCTGCAAGGGTGACCAGCTGACTTTGGACGAAAGGCGAGACGAGATGTACACCCGGGACTGTTTGACAACCATTCACATTCAACGCACGAAGCTAACATCTATGCTTTTAGAATGTGGTTAGTAGTCTTGAGTACCTGAAGACAACCCATGTATGCACGTGGAAAACAAACTCCATGAATGCCAACGCTAATAGAACCTGCGAACTGTGAGGCAGACGTGCCAAACAACTGTACCGCCCTGAGGTGTGCCTTTGTTAATGAACTCACATCAGAGCCAGGTATCTGCTCATACAGACGCCACTAGCGTGAGGATAGGATTTTTTATGCGACAAAATACAGTAATATGATTATTATATGTATTTATGACACTTGGGGGATAATTTTTAGTCCGGTTTCTCTATTTTCTGACCAACCTTAACCAACATGCAAGGTCATGATTAAAAACTAGCAAATCATGTCATGGAGATTTGTTCCTGAATTATTGTATGCCATCTTGTAGTTAGTAGAGGGCCGCTGGATACATTCATTTGTAAAATGGATTCCCACAACATAAATACAGTATGCGTAAGATGGAGGTTAAATGCGGTGTGTGTTAAATGTGCTACAAAACTGAACTTCTACAGAGGGAATCCACCTCCAGAAGCATAAGTGAGCATGGGGTAACATTGAATGGTGCAAACGGAACAGACTGGAGCAACGCTTTTGCTAACGCCACACCTTCAAATGATCACAGGGAATTTTAGTTAATAGTTGTGCGGCAACAGGATGCACCCGAATGTCCATCCGCTTCTTCACGTTGTCTTTTAAAGAGGAAAAAAACATCCAAATGCAGTATGGTCCATGTCAGAGTTGTTGACGAACATCCACATTGAGAGTGCACGTTCCCTCCTCCTCCTCCTCCTCCTCTTTAAGCTCTGCACCAGTGTCCATTGTCTAGTCCTCCATCTCTATGGTAACAGAAGGGTCTTGATCCTCAACTGAAATTGGAGGGGGGAGAAAATATAAATGACCATTCCATTTTGAAGAGTTTACAAATTGTTGAAGTGATGGAGCCGACGGCCACCAGAGGGCAGTATTGGGTAAAGTACTGCACATCATGTCCAAAGATACAGTATTTCAGTCAGGTTCCCACTCAGAAGCCATTACATTGCAATGCCACTGAAACGTCACATGACCGTGGCCTCTATAGTCATTTGGACATTGTCTGTATTCATTCTAATGTTGGAAGGGAAGGCGGAGTGGTTTGGAAACCTTGATGACACCAGAGAATGATCATAATGCTCCGGAGGAAATAACATCGCCACTGAGTGTACAATGAGGTCATGTTTGGAAACAGCAGCTGTCTCCATTCATTTTAGATGTCTCCGGCTGCTCTCTGTTGTGAGATGTGTTGACAGAGGTTTATTGAAAGGTCAAATTGTTTTGAAGTGTCACGTTGAGGAAAACACATTGTGAAATGAGGAAGTACTGTACAGGAACCCTGGTTTTCCAGTTTTACCAGTGGACAGACAATCTTAACAGGCGATGGGAGGTTAAATCAGAAGCAAATCATCCTTAAGATACCAGCAACATATTTCATTTCAATGGGCTGATGTTAAATTAGAACTACTTTTTCGGCTATCTGGTGTCTGTTTGAGACTTTGGTTAATGTGAACTGTTTACGAACTCAACCACATAACGCTCTAACTTTAACTCAGTGGTGCCCCATGTAAATGGCATTGGTCAGTTCAGAGGTCACGGACAAAACAATGTGGTGTGTTGTTTGCTTTGACGAGACAAGAGGATCTGCTGATAACGTGGGTCCATCAGCAAAGATGTGGTCATGTGATGCATTCCAGACCACATTCAATTGAGATTTAGGTTCAGCAATTCTCTACACGTGTCGACAGCATTTTTTGTTAATTTTATTTTTCCATCTTAAAATGGGGATACACATTATGAGAAGCTGGATTTTGTTGGTTCGATGTGAAAACTCAACACAAAAGCCAAACAATTGAAAATGACTTCAAATGTTTATCCAATGTTAAACAGCTATACAATTCATTATGTATGTAATGATCTACGAGGATTTGCATACAGCTCTGAAAAAGAATGAGTACAAAAACAACATTAGACCTTTTTTTTGTAGTATTTTGATGACTTTGGAATGTCTTTTGAATCAGATTAACTTTAAATCCTTCAATTGTACAGTACTAAAATAGAAGCAAGCAAGGTATTCTCCCTTGAAGTAGAGTCCAGACGATATCTTCAGTGTTATGGTAGCCAGCTTTCAAACTTGAAAGCCTTTTTATGGTCACTTAAAATCACATTTAAGATGCCCGACCATTGCCAAATAAATAAATGGCCAATGGCCATTCACCTGATTATGGGTGATTTAATATAAATCAGTCATTGCAAAGTGAACTGCGTGAGCCTTTATCATATTCTGAGACTCATCACATATGTTGTACCGTATCACTTGCTTCCAAGCCAAAAAAAGATGCAGTGTCAGTCAAAGAAGACAAAGATGAAAAAAATGGTAATATGTTGAAAAGCAGGGCTTGCTTCCGTTTAGTTGGATAGAACTGGCGCGGTACGTACTTCCCTTCCATATATTTTTACCACAAGCTTTGCTATTACATCTACAGGTAAATATGAAATGATTGGCCAAGGCTTTTTGGCAATTCTTAAGGAAAATAAAATTTTGACGAAACAAATTTAAGACAAACTTTTTGTTCTTCATTTTCTTTTGCCATTAGGACTGGAAACTAAATGACTTCTTCAAATTATAAGAGGTATTTTGTTGACAATGAACATCTGCTGCTAGAATTGAACTCATTCAATTCCCATGATCTATAAATACGTCTTGAAAACCCGTTACAGCTCGCTACCCATGACGTATTTATATGTCATTAACTTTTTTTTGTGGCATTGAAACAGGTGGGATTGAGGAGTTTGCTCCAGTAAAAATGGGTGGGATTGAATGAGTTAAGAAAGCCCCCAATATTCAAGACACTCACCCCAACTTCCTTCTTCAGACGCGTCATCTGACTCCTCCCACATCTCCTTGTTTGCCAGTAAGGGGTTCTGACACTCACTTCGATTCTTTACAGGAAAGTAGTGTCCATTACCTTGACTGAAAAGAAAATGGCACAAAAAGACAAATTACAACAGGCCATCACGCCATAATGTCAAGATCAAATTAACCTTGTGAAAACAGGGATGAACCAGAGTCTTCTGTCTTTTCCGAATACTTGCTGCAGATTTTTGCGTATTCCAACATTGAAACCATGTTTGTCTGGCCCGTTGACAAAAACTGGAGCTGAAAAGGCCTCTGAGAAAGGTGAAATGGAGTCAAAATACGTATGCCACACACATGCTTGCCAATTTTTTAATTAATTTTGTGACATACCTAAAGTGGATCTGTTTTTCGCCACCAACCAACAGTGGTAACTGAAGAGGAACATGAGACTGACAAAAAACATGAGTGCCACAAACATGAGAAAAAGGACATGGAACTTTGCCGGCCCATTTGGCAAATCCCCCTGGGAGAGAATGTTACAGGAGAATAAATGGTGGTGTCAAACATCCTGCTCGTTACACCTTAGAAGAACACTTACCACCCAGAATTTAATGAAATACTGAAAGACTGTGGCTGCGATGTATATGCAGTACAGCATTGAATAGTAGAGGAAAAGCAGGAAAAACTTGTAGTTTGAAAAGCCAACACAGTTGTTCACCCTAAAGGAAAATCAAGATTAGAATGTCAAGAAGACACTAAAATGTTGAATAAAGGGAATGGATAAGAAAAAAAGCTTACCAAGGACAGTGGTGGTCCATTTTCAAAACACACCTAAAATAAAAAAATGTTCTAAATCATTTAAAATTCTTCAGGCACTTATTTTGGTTAAATAGACAAAACCCCCAGTCAATCATCATGTGTTTAAAAAAAAAAAAAGCGTCCACTAAAATAACAATACACTTTTAACACTTACGCAACAGCTTGTATGATGGTGAAAATGGATGTATTTTTATACTCCCAAATGTAACCCACTCAAAATGTATTCAGTCGCCTGGAAAGTTTTTAAAAAAATAAATAAATAAAAGACAGTAATTTCCCTAATTAACATGAAATTGTTTGAATGCAGCATGTCATCCAAACAGAACGCTCAATAGTCTTAAGGTCCCATGCACAAAATGGAAGAAGAGGAATTTGGTTTGACGTACTCCCAAATGGGAATTCACCCCAATCTGCATTATGCATCGTAGACCAGTGTTTCCCAAGCTTTATTGAGCCATGGCACCTATTTATGTGAGAAAAATCTCAGGGCACACCACTAAACGCTTTGTTACAGCTGCAGCTGTTGTGAAAGCGCTATATAAATTACGATGTACTGTATTGTATAAACAAAAATACTGAAAAGCATGATCTCCTCTCATTTTACTTACAAACTGACAGTGTAATCTGGGCCTGTTTATTTGAACATTAAGGTGATATACTTGTATTCCGTTTCATGAATGGCAACAAGTGGGTACACAGGTTTATTGTACTGTCTACTATCTACAATATTTGTTAAAGTAAATACATTAAAAAAATAAATAAACCTTTCTGGACAAATTAATTCGTATGACATAGTTTCCCACAGCACTCCTGATCATCTCTCAAGGCACACTCTAGATTGGCACTTATTGGGGAGCAAAGCGTGACTTACATTTCACAGACCGAGCAGTGGTGACAGCGGTCAGGCTTCAGCACCTGGCAGCGGTCGCAGAACCTGATACCTAGACACAGGAAGAGGAAGGCCAGTTCAGTGCAGGACATTTGAGCTGAGCGTGCCATTCGCTTAACTACCTGCTCAGCCATCAGCACTAATGAAAGTCTGCACTTTGCATTGCGTTGCTAATACCATTTGTTTTTGGAACACCTCCAGCATTCCCGAAGACTGACTGTTGTCGCTAATCCACCTGCCTGTGAGGTATAGCATCTCATTAAAGTATAAGTGAAAGTTTACCTCCAGACTGAGCTCGAGTGTAGATGGGTAGCTTCCTGGCAATCTCAACCAGGATTTGTTTCTGTGCATCCGGCCTCTCCTCCATCTCGTACCTTTGCTTGTCTGAGTAAGAGAGCTGAAACTAGAAAAACAAACACATCAAATTAGTATGAAGTTGAAATAGTACATTTGGAGATCTACAGTTACATGTGATTTTGAGGATACCTTCTTGCATGGGGATGCAGCAGGGGTGAAGATGGACTTCCAGTAGGTCCAGGAAAACATCCCAAAGGAAACATGGAATACAAGTAAATAAGCCACTGCAGAGACAAACAACAAGATGTTCACATTCATATCCTGAACATTGTTTTCTACATTTTAGAACCTCGATCAAGGACTCACCCTTTTCCAATGTGTTTGACAGGGTGACTGCAGAAACAAGAGTAAAGTATACTTAGCGAAATTAGCACATTTAAACATGCGCCCAGTTCGTACACAAAAGGGCCATTGACTGGCTAGCAACACTGGCCGGAATGACAAGATAAAGCAATAAGCCTAACAATAGGCACTCCATTAATAGACTGGCATCTCGGTGAAACCAAAATGACCTTTACGCTTTATATTGATTATTAAAAAGCTAAAACCCAAAACACTTCCGCATAGTTTGCTAGTTCCTGCTCTGGTATTTGAATCTGTCAATTGAGCTGTGCGGCAAACTGCGGTACATGTCTACGGTTTGGGATGGGGGAAATGATAAGTAAAACGACCACGTTTCCGATACTCACAGAGACATAGCTGAAAGACGTAAGCGTAATACGACCACAGCATCACGGAGGCTATAATAAGCACAGGTATCCACGAGAAAACCCTTTGACAGCATCTCAAACCTCTGGAGAGCGCCATACTCAATCGAAACGCGGCTCTCCTCTGTGCTCGATTCAGCTTCCTGCCTGACTGGGCGTCTGCAGCAGCGTGAACAGAGATCAATTCAGCACACTTTGTCGCCGATTTTAAAAAAATACCAAAAAGAGGTTCTCGTCTTGTGAGCGACCTGGAAAAAGAAAACATGCATGCTACTGTTACGCTGTATATATTTTTCGAATTTATAGAGTAACACAGGTCTGAATATGATATAAAATTATATCAAGGTTAATTATAAAAATATTACCAGGTTTTACCAGCGTAGTCGTTTTTACTGTAACACTTACTCATATCGCCAATAGATTATGACACCAACAAATTTAACTCGAAATCCACAAATATTCAGTAAGCCTGCGCTACAAGCGTGTTTTGTACAGGTACAATAGTCTAACATGCAGTCACTCAGCCACATACCTAAATAACCACTTGACAAGGGGATATATTCTACCAGTTATCAATTGGCGTGATCATTTACAATAAACAACTCAGTGCCCCCCCCCCACACACACACTATATGCCAGAGAAAGGTCAGCTTACCACCACGTTTTGAAAGTCACCAATAGAGGACGCTAAGAGACTGTTTTTAAACTAAAGCCGTGTTCGAGTTGGTTAGTTCATTCTGCAACTTTGCAAACATAGTGAAACAGTAACTTAATTTAGGGTTGGCAGGGTTGTACGAGTGGTTATCAAATTCGCCTCACAGTTCTGAGGTTCACGGTTTGAATCTTGGCCCTGGCCTTTCCAGTATGTAGTTTACATGTGATTCCCATGTTACATGCCTCTCCCCAAATTCTCAAAATATACATGTTAGTCTAATTGAAGATTGTCTGAAGGTGGGAATGTATGTTACTCTGTATGTGCCCAACAATTGGCTGGACACCAGTCCACGGTCTTTCATTCAAAATCACTTGGGATAACTTCCACATCACTTTAGACACTAATAAAGAAAAGCACAATTTTTAAAAAATGGATGGACGGAAATTGGGGTTAAATAAAATTCGACATCAAGGTATGCAGTAAAATTATATTTACTTGTAGGTAAATTAGGTATTACCTTAAATCATGTGAAAATATTATTGAGTAAATATGTGTGAGGATTATAATTTCATAATTTCTCTACATTTTTGCAAGGCAATTTAGAATATTTCCTTTTCCCTTTTTCTGAAGATTTGTGGAATGATAGTCTGATGTGGTTGCACCAATCTCCTATAATACTCCATCTTTTCATCATAAACACTTCCTCCGATGTATTTGACACTTTCTAGTTCCACCTGCTCTCCTGTTGTACAGAGTCTAAACACCCCCCCACCCCCGCCACTCCCAACCTCAACCCCCATTCTGTAATGAAAGAGACTTCTGGGATTGAGAGGGGTGTGAGGTGAACTGCGCCCCGGCACCAAACTCCTGGGCCGACTGTGACATTTTGCCACTTTCAACATATCATCTGTCACTTGCTGTTGAAGTAACAACATCCTCCACCCTATTCTGGCCGACTGCCTTGCTCTCACTTCAAGCGACAATGTCGGCTGCCGGGTGGTGACAGCTCCTCTCTGGTTCATCCACACAATCGAGGCATCCATCCGTCAACACGTCAACAAAACCCCCTCCAGGTCAAAGCCATTGTGTCGAGCAAAACAGTCACGGCCTTTTAATCAAAACATATGCCCCGGAGTTAAAATAAAACATCATAGCAGCAGGTTGAGGCAGATTCCTTCACTCAGAGGTGTGTGAGTGGAGCGTGATGGAGGTGCATTCCATGCCACCTTGGTGGGTGTCTACATAAACAGACAGTTAAGGGCTAAAGGAGAGCCTGTTTGGGCAGAGTTCATGCATGTCTGTGTGGAAAGAGCAAAACAAAAAAAAGAACTGTGGTTTACCTCATACCACCATGCGGGCTCATTACTGGCAAAAGAGACACAATGGCAGCACCTCAAGTGTTTGGACTTGAGCTACAGCTAACTTTCATGCCTTGAGGATGAAGTAGCACTGAGCGTATGGGCGCAACATTTGACCCCTGAGACTCTCACGTCTTGCACTTGTTCTACCTCTGTGGCCATGTGGGTAATTCTGACAGATACCACGAGGGCAGATATATTTTTAACGGTTAATTTTGCTTTTCGCCCCGTGAGTGGGATGAAGTGAATGGAAAATACTGGAATACAGTATGTCCTTCCTTAGAAGAAAAAAGGCAGAATCTTCATTCGCAAACCAGGATGGAGCCTACAGCAGTGGTGCCATCCATCCATGGTGCAATCCATCCATCCATCCATATTAACAATGAAGATGTTTTTCGAATGTGGCTGCATGAAGACCAACGTGCAAACCACACAGGAGGGCCCAAGCCGAGATTTGAATTACAAGCCTTGGAACTGTGACCCAGATGCATACAGAAGGGCTTCAGTCAGAATCAAAATAATCTTTACTGTCCAAATATGTAAAAAACAAACAAGGAATTTGTCTCCGGTTGTATGAGCTAGACTGGTATTGCAGTAGCAAGCAACTCTGACAAAAAAAAAAAAAAGTGACACATTTGTAGAGAGAGGCTTTACGTAATGTAACTGTCCCGTTGGGCCTGGAGTACCAACGAGTGACAGCTGTGCAAACAATGCGGAAAGTCCATCCATCCATCCATTTTCCGATCCGCTTTATACCCACATGGGTCGCGGGGGGTGGTGGACCTATCCCAGCCGTCTTCGGGCAGTGGGCGGGGGACACCCTGAACTGGTTGCCAGTCAGTCGCAGGGCACACACAGACGAACAACCACCCGCGCTCACACTCACCCCTCGGGACAATTTAGAGCAGGGGTCCCCAACCGCCGGTCCGCGGACCGGTACCGGCCCGCCGGGCATTTGGTAACAGGACGGTGACCGATTCCGCTTAAAAACAAAACACCAGAGCTCGCAAAATGAGTAAAAAAACTGCTGGAGATCAAATGACAGCGGCCTTAAAAGTACGTTCGAGACAACTGGATTAAAGTTATGGCTGAATATTCTGAGATCGCCACAGTAGCACTGTTGCTATTTCCGACATGCTACCTGTGTGAGGCGGGGCTTTTCTGCAGCAATGGCGACTAAAACAAAATTACGAAGTAGACTGGACACACTTGAGGTGTCATTGTCTCCTATTACCCCGAGATGGGACCGTCTGGTTGCAGAAAATCAAGCTCGGGGCTGTGGTGAGTCGTCATTGTCATGCACTTTGAATTTGCGTTGTATCGTATTTTGAAGGCATTAAACATTACCATAGCGATCGGAGTGTTGCGGCCAGATTAGACGCTCCTTGTGTTTATTATTATATTTCGAAAACACCACAATTTCCATGCAGCTCATACCATATTATTTTGTTGTATTATTTCCGCCACACCTTAAATGCCGGTCCCTGAAAATATTGTCTGACATAAACCGGTCCGTGGGGCAAAAAAGGTTGGGGACCCCTGATTTAGAGTGTTCAGTCAGCCTGCCATGCATGTTTTTGGAATGTGGGAGCAAACTGGAGTACCCGGAGAAAACCCATGCAGGCCCGGGGAGAACATGCAAACTCTACACAGGAAGGCCGGAGCTGGAATTGAACCTCCGCACTGTGAGGTCAACGCACTAACCACTGAACCACCGGGCCGCCATGCGGAAAGTCATCAAGCAAAAATAAAGTGACCAGTAGTGAGTTAATTAATACAAAACAATGACAGTTGTGCAGATGATGCATATAATTTCACCACCATTTAAACTGACGGTAGTGCAGTAATTGTTATACAATGATGCAGAAAGACCTTGAATATGATGGCTGGTCAGAGGATCTTTTCCTTCTGTGTGATTTTTTTCAAGTTTGCTACTTAATTTTGGCGAGTCCACTTCCTGTGGCCCTCTGTTTCTTTTTTTTTTTTTCAGTTGCTTTTAATAATCAGGGTGGGCGTGGTCATTTTCCAGAGGGTGATCACACACCTGCAGCTGATCGGCACTCTTCCAGAACGTTATGAACAAAATCTTTCATGACATGCTCATTCACTTAATTTTCATGTACTTGGATGACATTCTGATCTTCTCCCGTTCTCTCGAGTAGCATCGTCAGTACGTGAAGATGGTTCTCCAAAGGCTCCTGGAGAACAGAATGTATGTAAAACCAGAAAAATGTGAGTTTCATGTCCCCTCTGTTGGTGTTTTTTGGGTTACACAATTGCCAAGGGCCAACTTGAACCTGACCCAGTAACGATAAAGGCAGTCATTGACTGGCCAATCCATTTGCAAAGAGCTCCTACAGTTGCTGGGCTTTGCCAATTTATGCCGCCGTTACATCCGTGACTACAATAAAGTGGCTGTTCTCTTAACTCGTCTCGCCGCCACTAAGTCCCCTTTCAGATGGACCCCATGCTTCGGCCACCAGGGTAGGAGCTGTCTTGTCCCCACGGGATCCCGAAACCCAGAAATTACACTTCTGTGCTTTTTTTCTCTTGTCGTCTCAGCCGTGCGGAAAGAAATTATAATGTGGGAAATCGTGAGTTGCTGGCAGTTGCCCCTGAATTTGAAGAATGGAGGCACTGCTTGGAGGGCTCTGAGCTCTCCTTTCTCATTTAGACCGACCAAAAAAAACCTCTCATATCTCCAGTCAGCTCGAGACGTCAATCCCCGTCAAGTCCACTGGTCTCTGTTTCGCAGGAGATTCAACTTCACCCTTTCTTACCGCCCTGGTTCCCGCAACATCAAGCTAGATGCTCTCTCACAAATTCACCCTTCTCTCTCTAGGTCACAGGACCCAAAACCAATCCTTTCACCACCATGTGTTGTGGGCCCTGCAACCTAGGAAATTGAATCAGTTGTTAAAGAGGCACAGAAGGATGACCCATGTCCTGGTAATGGTCCACCCAACAGATTGGTTGTTCCTCCAGTTGCTCATTTCAAAGTCCAGCTATATATATCTATATATATATATATATATATAGATATATATATATCTATATATATATATATATAGATATAGATACCACCTTAATGAGTCTTAGAATCGAGACTATTTTGTTTTCCACTATCGGA